GCCGCTGCCGCTGCCGCCGCCGCTGCCGCCGCCGCCGCCGCCGCCGCGTCCGGAGCTGCGCCCAGGCCGACCCGCGGCGAGCGCCCAGGGCGCCGGCAGCCCCGGCCCGCCCTCCCCGCCCCCAACTACTCGCTCCCCAACGGAAAGTTCGGCTCCGGCGGCTTCTCGCCCGGCAGCGGGGATGAGCCGGGGTCGGGGGGCGCGCTGAGCGGCGGCCAGGAGGGGGCAACTTCTCCCGGGAGAGCGCCTCCCGCCGGGCCCCGCCGGCCGCAGCCCCCGGCGGGCTCGAGTGGTTTTTCCCTTGCCTGTGCCTCCCCCCTGCGGATCCAAGAGACGGACCTAGGTCCCCGCGCTCCCGCTGCCGGGTGACAAGAGCCAGCGCCGCCGCCGCCGCCGCCTCGGCCGCCGCTCCCTCCGTCCCTCCGCCCGGCCGGCTGGCCGCTCCCGGCCGCAGCCCTTGCCCTGCCCGCCCGCCTGCCCGCCGCACCATGGAGTTCTCGGAGAGGAAGCGGAGCAGGAAATCCCAGAGCTTCAAACTGGTGAGCCGAGGTAAGCGGCTGGCCGGGCCGGGCCGGGCGGGGGGCGTGCGGGCGGCGGAGCGAGGACTTGGCGCCGCGTAAACAGCCCCCGGCCCCTTGCCCGTCGCCCGGGCCGCGCAGCCAACTCCCGCGGGGCCGGGGCTCCCGGGACCCCCCGGTCCCCTCCCGAGGGGGGGCTGCGGCCGCCGGGCGGCGAGGAAAGTTGTGCCGGGGGGAGGCAGGATGTGATTCCGCGTAAACAAGTCGGAGGGCACATCAGGAAATTAGCAAACAATGACACTTGGGGCGCGGAGAGCCTTCTTTGGTATTCCACTCTTGCGGCTCGGCGGCGGGGTGGGGGAGGACGCCTCTCCATCAGGCGGTGCGAACACCAACCCGGACCAGTGCTTGTGGTGGGTTGGGGGTCGGTGTGTTTTCCAACCCCCAAAGAGGAGGAAGAAAGGTGCTGGTGGCGTTTGGAAGATGGAGAAAGACGCTCATTAGGTGTCCAAGCCCAAATAAGAATTGTTGACATTCAGCGTCTTTTCTGGGTACGTTATTTGGCCTGGAAAGGTGTTTTGGAATAGATCACTTATCCATCAGGTAAGTATTATTAAAAAAAAAAAAATCCAGCCGACCCCTGACGATTTAACAGGTGTACACCGCAGTCTCTGGGCTTGGATTTATTTCATCGGGCGAGGGGAAAGTTGAATAGTCCTGCCTGTGGTCAGTGACTTGTTAAGAGTCTCTGTTTTTCCTGATGTGACTTCGAAAAACGATGAGAACTTAAGGGCAGATGTAAAAAAAAAATCGAAATGCATCGTGTTACCTTAGAGGCAGGTGACTTTTTTCTCCCCATCATGTCACAAGTCCCAATATTGAGTTTAGAATGCTCCTGTTTAAGTATTGCCTTTGAATCAGCTTGAAGTCAGAACCAAACCAGAGAACCTGTCCACTTTGGTCCTCTGTTGTTTTATCTAGCATGGGCATCAGAGCAGAGAGCAAGGCGATTGTGTTACCAACCTGGAGAAGTCCCATGTAAGCTGATGAAAATTAGAGGGCGATTGCAATTTCCAGCTAAGCTGAGCTAACTATGATGCAGATTCAGTAAAGCCTGCTTTGGGTTACTCTGAAAATGGTTTGATTATAGACATTTTGGAGATCTACTGCTGTTTCCTCCTGTTGAGTTCGGATACTGTTTAATGAAAAAAGCCTGAAGTAGTTTTACGTATTCAAAATATTTGGCTTTTCCTTGTCTCTACGTACATTTTGTTCCCCCAGCAGTGTTGATTGCTCAGTCATTTGTACTTTAAAAGTCCCTCCATATTTGACTGGCCTGTTGGTCTATCTGATTCATTCTGGAATGTAGGCTGCTTTCTTATTTATGACCTCAGGAAACCTACTACTTTATCTTAAAAGTGAGAGGAGTTTTGTAGACCTTGTCCTGGGAGGTCTAAGGCCCCAAAAAGGGAATCGCTGTTAACAAGGGACCTAGTCTAGTTTCTTACCTAAGCGATCCTACTTTTTAGAAACAGACAACTGCCAAAGCACAGTAGCCTCTATAGAGAAGCTTGTAAAATACTGTGTCTTAAAGTTTGACTGACATAGCAAGTTTGTTTTTTTCCTTTTTTTAAAAAAAATTATGGGTCTGATTTTTCTCTCTGCTCTGCAGGTGCATTTTTAGAACGTAAACGGTTGCATATTAAAGTGCAGTAGCTGAACGCAAGACTCACTTTCTTATCCAAATTATACTATACTTGAAATAACAACTCAGTATTTTTCATGTGTGCTTGCCTGTAAGCTGCTCAAAGCCTGGGGTTTTTCTGGGTAAACTGAGAGTACCAGGTAACTCGAAAGCATACTATTCATCTCCTCATGAAAATGGGTTGTAGAGATAAATTTGGCATCTTCCCCTGGCCTCTGATTGGGCAAGCTTCTTTCTATTCCTTGTAAACATACTTGTCATTTGGAAGAAAAGAAGCCTCGTATGTAATTGGCATCCGTGGGCCAAATTTCCTGCGAAAACTGTGTGATCAAGCAGAAACGTTTTCTAAAGTCATAGTAATAATGTCAAGTCTGTGTACTTCTCCAGAGTAAGCGAAGTTGTAGGGATGACCATGACTACAAATTCTGTGATTAACTGAGTTCTCGAAAATTATATTTATAAATTAAAGTATAGCTTATACCTACTATATATAATGAGATGCTAGTCTTTCTTGCTGATTCACATCTTGTAGGTCATTAGAATTCTAATTTTTCGTTGTCTTCTTACCCCAGATTATCACCATGAGGTCTGTAAGATCTCAGAATTCAGCACCGATGTTAATGGGAAGGCCAAAGAGACACAACCCATTTTTTTAGGTAGGTTCTCATGTCAATGAATTTCTCAGCAAGACAGCATGGCCATTTGCAATTAGAGAGAAGGAAAAAAAAAAAAAAAAGATTGTGCCAGAATGGGAAATGTCTGCCATTGCTTCGTGTCTGACATTCTTTTCAAGACCTTTTATTGTACGGATTGCCAATATATCCCTTATTAACATTGCTAAAAGTTGTAATTTCAGACATAAATGTTTATTAGTGTCTACACACAGTGCTAATTATCACTCACACCCAGAGCCAGGTGCTGACCGTGCAGTTCTGTGGCTCTGCGTTCGCCCCATTTACATTGCATATTCACTGGCATGCTTCACCGGCAGTAGTTTGTGTAATTGGGGTATTACATCTTTGACATCTGGGTAACAGAAATTCAATTTCCAAGAAGCTGCTATTTGTTTGGTTCTGCCTCTGCCTTGGGTGGGACAGAGGATTAATATGCTGTCTGACGATAATGTCCCTTCACCTCTGTGGCCTGGTTGCTAATCCTGCCACGACAAAATTAAATTAACTCTCCAGCCAAAAAGCGGAAGGAAGAGAAAAGTGTGATTGTCCGCCGAACCACCTCTTGATAGGACTAGCGATCACGGAGCCGCTTCTCATCTGTCTGGCTTTGTTTTCATTTCACACCAGCATCGGTGGTCAGAGAGAAGAGCCACACTTTGCTCTCCCCACCCTCCTTCCCAGCTCACCCCAGGGCCAGGCAGAGCCAAGCAGCATCTTGGAGGCCATCCGACGAGAGTAGCTGCGTGATGGATAAGTAGGTCCCCCAAGATGATGCCCCTCTCTCCAAGTGTGGTTTTTGGTGCACATACTGTACCTGAGGGGCCTTGCCTGTGCAGTTTGTTATTTGCAGACCATGAGCCCCAAATTAAACGATTTAGGGTTTTGCCACGAAGAATGAAGTACCCGTGAGGTTAGAGTGGAGGGTACATCGTGGCGCTTGGCCTTCACCTTGCCCGTCCCCAATACCTCCTCGAGCCCCAGGGGCAGGGTGAGAGCCAGGTGCCGCACACGAGGAAGCAACACGGGAGACTGTCCTGGCAAGAGCCATTGAAAGCAAGGGCCAGAATGGCCGTATCTCTGGGGAGAGTTGATAGGTCTTAAGGAAGCAGGATGTGTGCTCAGACCCAATGTACTGCCAATTAAAACAACGAGGAAGCCAGGCAGTGGGGCGTTCTCACTCTTTTGCTTTGAGGAAGAGAAAGGGTGGGTTGCAAAGGACCAAGGAGTCAAACAGATAATGAGTAGAGGTAAAAGAGGAGGGAAATAATGGCATTTCTTCCACAAGTGAGCACCAGAGGCACGCGAATCTTTCCATCCAGGCAGAGAGCGTGACTGAGGCCAGCACTGTTCTTAGCACCTGTTTACTGTTCAGAGGTCTAGAACCCAAAACGTTCACAGTCAAGCGAAACGCTAAGACCCAGCAGGAGGATATTCCTGCATTGTACTCTCTTCAGTTCCTCCAGCTTACTCAGAATCCTGTATTTTCAGTTCCCTAAACTCGATCGGTTGGAAATTCTATATATCAAAGCACCACCCGATCTAACCATTTGAAATGAAGAACTTGCCTATTAGTAGAAAAACGTGCATTTATCATATAAAAAAGAACATCACATCCTTGGTTTCGTTCATCCCCAACAAAGCAGGCTTTTCCCCCCTTTCTGCTCCCTACTTGAAAAATGGTGAGGGCGCTATACAGTAGGTGGATTCTGGGTACGAGAGAGTGAAGGATGCAGAGCGGGAAGATGCTAGCGCTCGGAATTCGGTAAAAGGTAAACTCTCCACGGGGCAGGGCTGGCTTCGTTTTTCCTAGCTCGAGTCCAGGAAGATAAGAGAACATCAGTGAAAGGCCAGGCTTGGGATAAGTTTCTCAGTTGTTGGTCAGGGAGGCCTTTGACATCAAGAGACAAAAGATGGACCAGCATAAAATGCCTGGGTTATTCTCAGTCTTCTGCTCATTCTGGGAAAAGTGTGATATGGTTCCCAAAGAACATTTCTCTTTTGCGATCTTCAGGTCAGTTTGGAAAAGAAAAAAAGTGGAAGAGCAAACGATGACACAAACCTGATATCTAGAGTAATTGAGAATAGTTACTGATAGCATATGAGAATCAGAATTCTGTTGTTGACAGTGTAATAAAGTGGACTTTTATTTAGCTAATAGTTCTTATTCACAAATGTGAATCATGTTTGTTTCGTAAATGGCTTGAGTCTACCCATAATATTACTCATTATGGCGTAGAATTCTGCGTGAGGTCCGTGACATCCAAGGGAGTCTGTTAGCAAAATAGCAGAACTGTTTCACCTATGACGCATTCCTCACACGTGGCCCTCGGGATGCTGTATGGGATTTTCTGTGTTCACACGTACATATGTGTCATCTTGGGTACTATCTGCGCCTATAAGATTACAGTTCATGTCTCAGGGGAAGGGAACGCTCCAGAATCTGGCAGAGGTTCCCACCTCAAATCCGTTTCCTAGAATATTTTCAGGCTGGTGATTCAGGCAGCACATCCAGCGAGGCAGGATGGCTCCATGGTGTGAATGGCTTGCCTGAGCGCTTTGGGTGTTCCTCACACATTTTTAACTTGATAACGGGATCCGAAGAGGTTACTTTACCCTGCGGACATTGGCTTTGTCAGGTTGGCCGTGATGGGCCACTATAAAGATGGGGTCACTATTTTGGAGGAAAACAACTTAATTCGTTTTGATCAATTCAACAGGTGTTTTTTTGAGAATACATGACGAACTCAGCACTTTTCTAGAGTGGCAGTGGGGTCAGGGGAAACCAAAGAAGTGGATAGGACAGGGACCCTGCTCTCAAGGATTAAAATCCAGTTGGGGTGATAGGACAAATTCAGGACACAGCGAAGGAGCGAATTTCGGTCACCCGTAACAGCTGCGGTTGTCTGAGTGCTTGCTCTGTGCCCGGCACTGAGTCCAGTACTTGACGTGAAGGATCTCATTTACTCCTCAGAGCAAATCTGTGAGCGTTATCGCCATCCCTGTTTTGTAGATGAGACTGAGAGGTGTCAGGTGGGCTGCCACGGGTCTCCCAAGGGACAAGCGCCACAGCCGGGACCCCACGCAGGTCCCCCTGAGCTGGAAACACCCCACCGCACGCACAGCGTGTGTGCATGATAAATCGCAGACGTGAACCTTCAGGGCGATGAGCAAAAGCAGAGCTGGGAGGGAAGGGTCACAGTCAGGGTCGGGTGGAAAGCTCTGGAAGGGGGAGATCTCGAACCAGGGGAGGATTTGGGTAGGCAGAGGGGAGTTGGAGAAGATTCCAGGTGGGAGGGGTGATGTGAGTCTCGGTAGAGAGCCGAGCATCGCTGTCATCGGACCTTAAGGGCCAGGTGCACTTTGTCGTTTGGACAGCGCCGGCGCATCTGTCGTCCCACGACTTTACGGTGGACCCGTGCGGTAGCCTGGGCGGTGTTGTTATTCCCATTCCCCAGAGGAAGAAACTGAAGCTCAAGTGACTTGCTCCTAAGGAGCAGAACCTGGAGTAAACCCAGGTCTCCTATCCAAAGATCTTTTGCCTCCGCCTGGTTGAGCCAGGCAAATCCCAGGGATCATCGGAGAGGCCTCAGCCGGCAGCAGGGCACTTTTAGGAAGTATTTTAATGCGACAATGAACTTACTCTTCATAACTATAATACAAACATTCCATCAAATCTTTTATATTTGGATTTTGTTCTAGATTTACTATTGTAATAGATAAATAGGAAACATGTCTGTGTTTCAGCTGTCTGGTCCATTTATTCATTCAGATATTTCTTGCCCTCCAGATACGCGTCGGGCCCTGGTCTAGCTAGTTGTTCTTTTTAATATAAAGTCTGTGCCACAACTTTCAGAAGCTGAAGCTCAGGGTACGGCCGCCAAGCCAAGCGAGCAGGGTGTAGGCCTCTGATACTTTGAATCTCTTTTCAATGGCTTTCTTGATGACAGCGGCCTCTGCCAGGGTCCCCAGAGTCTCGAAATTCTCTTTGGGTTGGAAATGCAGCCAACAAGAGTAGGTGTCATTCATCGAGTTTGCTGTGTGTCGGGTACCATGCTAAGAGCTTTGGTTTTTTTGGCCGCACTGCACGGCTCGCGGGATCTTCGTTCCCTGGTCAGGGATTGAACCTGGGACCACGGCGGCAGTGAAAGCACCGAGTCCTAACTACTGGACCTCCCCGGGAGTCCCCATGCTAAGAACTTTGTTACCCCATTATTTGTCCCATAAAAGATATGATTATTTCCACTTCACAGACGAGGAATTTGAGGATTTCACAAAGCAACTCAGTGACAGAACCAGGATACAAACCAGGGTCTGTCTGTCTCCAAAACCATGCCCTTAAGCACGGGAAAGGCTCGTGCAAATGAACTCCTGGCTGGGACCCCAATATGTACAGAAGTGGAAGGGGAGTGGGGCAGCCAGGAGCAGGCGGAAGAAGCCCAGAGCACCTTGTCCCATGTCCTGCCCTCCTCTGCCAGCCTCTGCAGAACTGTCAGGGTGCCCTCACCACTGTGTAACAGCCTCTCGTCCAGACGGTTTCCGAGAATTCCTGCGGCGCTGAAAGTGTACCTGGTTCTACCGTGGGTCCAAAAATGGCTTCAAAAACAAGAGCAAGCAAAGTCCGATTTGAGAGCCTCTTGAGGAGACCTAAACACTGATGGCTTCTTTCAGTGTAAGTGCACATAAGTACCTGTGCTTCTGCAGCTGTGGGTGCAGACTTAGTTGTCCTTGGAGAGCACTTACTTTATTGCCTGAAGTTCTGGAGCATTTGCTGCTAGGCCTGTCTCATACTTCCATTAATCACTGAGTTCATATCATAACCACACCATGAGGTAGGTGTTATGTCCCTTAGACAAATGGGAAGCTGAGCTCAGAGATGACAGTGACCTGCCTGAGGTCACACAGGAATTAGTAGCTGGCCCCGCTTTAAATCGGGTGCTTTGACATCTAGTTCTGTCCTCTTTTCCTTAAGCCAGAGCGGCCTG